TAAACACAAATGATATACAGAAATTTAAAATTGAAAATACTTTCTTAAAAGAATTACAACTGTCATGCAGTAAAATAAATTTTAATAAAAATCCACAAAATCTATCAGACCAAATAATATGGCAGAATTCACATATAAAAAATAATGGATCTTTAATTCTTTTTAAAAACTGAAAATGTCAAAATATTAATAAGATAAAGGATATTTTTAACACTAAAACAAAACAATTTAAAACCTTTGACCATTTGACATTACTGTTACAGAAATATTTAACTTATTATTAATTATTATTATTAATTATTTATTATTATTAATTAATTTCATCAGTACCCAAAGAATGGAACCGTAAACTACAACAAATTAATCAAACTTCAACGCCTAAAGAAATAAGTACTTTTGATATCATAGAAAAAACAAACACGTCCAATGTCAGTAAAAAGTTAACACAGATTCAAAAGCCAATTAGACTGTGTAAAAATATAAAAAACAAAATCGCAAATAAAATGGGAAGAACGATTTTCGCAAAAAGAATTTCAATGGCAAAATATTTAAAAAAACGTTTTTGTTTATTGCAAAGATAATATTTTACAAAATTTTCAATATAATTTTTTACACAGGAATAATGCAACAAACAAATTTTTCCTTAAATGTAAATTTACCGAATATAGTCTTTGTGATTTTTGCTGTATGGATGTTGAAAGTATAGAGCACCTATTTTGGGAATGCCAAACGATACAAATATTCTGGAATAATTTATTCAAATAGCTAAATGAAATAGCAATAAATGTTACGTATGACAATTTTATATCTTTCTTACATGCTAAAGATAAGAAAACATCGTATATTTTTCTCCTTTCAAAATATAACATTTATACCAGTAAATTAAAGAAACAAACTCCAGATTTAAGTATCTTCAAAAAAAATATTTTTTTTAAACAGATTAAAAATTGAAAGATTTATTGCGTTATAAAATGATACATTAGAAGAATTTGAAAAATACTGGATAAATCTAATTGAATTGTTTGATATTTAAATAGTACATGCAGAAAAAAATGCTACCAAAGCAGTTTATTTACTCTTTTCTTTTTCATCCTTTTGTCCCTTTTCTTGTATAATTGTGTAAATGAATGAATCTCTTAACTTTAAAAAAAATATGATGTTAACAACTTTTCTATATAAATCTGCTTCCAGAATTGAAGGCAATTTTCCGAGTGTTCCTTCTTTTGAAACGATTTAGAGTTTTTTCTTTAAAAAAAAAACACAACAGTAAAATACAGTTTTCGGGGCATCAAAGGACAATTACAGAATAATTTCAGTAATATATTGTTTTTCTATTTTTCTACATTTTTTGTTCATACGTCTGGAAAAAAAACACAAATTAATTGTGTAAAAAATAACACATAAATTAGCAGCAGCTTCAAATTTGTTCATACATATGAACAAAACAAACTCACAGAGTGACACAATGGCACATAAATGAGACACTTCGATTGTGTTCATACGTATGAACAAAAAATCTAAAATAATGCTAATACATGTAGATAAGTTTTTTACAACATATCAATGCAGGACTCTGATGTGAGTCTGATAGGTTAATTTGAAGGATATGCCAGGCTTCAAAACAAAGGTGATCACTGGTAATTTATTTTTTCCTATTTGAGTGACAAGATATCCTGCTTGTATTTCACGCCTGTTCAGCACTAGTTCGCAAAATCTGTATATATGTCAACATTCACCATCAAATGATATTCGCGTAATAATACAGTTGTATTTAAGATTTATTTGGATTTAAGAATTTGGATTGCAGATCCGAAAATGTTATACATACAATTAGAGAACTCCAAGGCTTATTGCTTATTCCTACCATTATCGTCAATAAACATGCTAAATCAAATGGAGCCTGCAACATTAACTAATAAGCAGTTGAATTGGTGAATGAAAATAAAAATAAAATGTTTTAATGTAAAACAGTGGTTTAGAGTGTAGTAATAAACAATTACACAATGTGCATTTAGAAACAATAACAAAATATACATGAACAAAATAGGAATACAGTAAACTCCTCTTATAACGAACTCATTGAATATTCAAAATATGTTCCATATATCCGGAGTTCCTTGTAAGCAGATAGCGAATTAGTTCCTTGTATCAAGGGATTTTACCGCGAACAGATTTACATATAACGAACTGATTGTTTAACATCGTCCTCCATTTCGCAGAGCATTTGATTAAGAAAAATAACTCACCTGGGTTCATCATTGTTGTCTCGCTTTCAATGATTCAATAAGAAGAAAAAAGAGAACAAATACCATGTTTTTTAATAAACTTTTTATATATAAATATGTCTTTAAAAAATAACATGATATATACAATATTGTTATTGATAAACAATACAGTATCATGTAGAGAAACAGTCATTTGCCTTTGATAAAGTTGCTTATTAGCAGAACTTATTAAATAGAGGTTTTGTTACAGTCATGTCGGCGTTGACGTTGCCGCAAACTTTAACCTTGAGCATAATCTTTAAAGTTTTTAGTGTATTGTCTTTATACTTGGCCACAATAATCCTTTGGACAAAAGCTATAAGTGTGGACCGGACTAATCGTGACATTCATTCATAAATGACCTTAGTCTTCAAGGTCAAATGTCTAAATGTTGTTTGTTTTTCATTTTGTTTGTTTTTCCTTCCTTTTTTTGCTATAAATGGCTATTATTTGATATTTTTAAATGGATTGTCTTCACACTTGAAAATCATTATCTTTTAGGATAGACCAGACATACCTTGACCTCCACTTATAATTGTCCTTTATCTTGAAGGTCAAATTATTATAATTTTCAATTTTATATTTTTTCCTGTAACAACTGCCTATAATTTTGTTATAAATGAATGGATTGACTTCATATTATAACAAAACATATTAAGTATAAGACTTATATGTATATCACACGCGAATTGTTGGACAAGATATTCTAAAAGGTTGAACTGACTTTGACCTTGAGTTTTAAAGTACATTGACTGTTAAGGTCAAATAATTGACAAAGCAATATTTGCAACGAAACAAACATATTGAATAATATAGATGTGAACTTGACCTTGCATTGACCTTGACTATCAAGGCGAAATTAATGAAATTCTCTTGCTTTAACTGGCTATAACTTTGTTATTTATCAATGATTTAACTTCATATGTATTAACAAAATCTTTTAGGTCAAGACCTTTATGTATATCAAACTCAAACTGGCATTTACTCATGTATGAAATTGACCTTGAAGGTCAAATTATTCAAGTTTCATTGATTTTTGCTATAATTGGCTGTAACTTGATAATTAATTAATTGATTATTTCAAACTTGGTCAAAACAACCTTTAGGGCTAGACCTTCTCAAAGGTTAAACTGACTTTTTGACCTTGACCTTTAAATGACCTTGATTATCTAGGTCGATTTATTGAATTTTAGTAGATTTATCATAATTTTCTTATTTGTGTACGGATTTGATTCATTCGTGCACAAACTGTTTTTATAAACTACCGACAAGTCATCTTAAATGATTTCGTTGTCGGAATATTGACGGCCATATTATTTCTGCTCTCTCAATTTCTCGTAAAATATCATATTTTGTTTCTAAACTTGTTTTTCGTTTTCTTTTAATGATTAACAATAAACAATCATTTGATTTTTCTGTCCGTTCATATTTAATATCTTCGATTATACATGTTTTTAAGGGATACTTTTACTTTTGAAAGATGTAGATTTCCTTTCCTTTAATTCAAGCGTACCTTGTACATTTCATTGGATTTTTATAATGAAATATCATGAGTAATTATGTTGAAAACTGATTATAAATGATCATTATTCTTTTCCTGGAGCAAAACTATTAAAGAAAGGAAATAATGGAATAAAATAATTGATAATCGTTTTATCTTGGTGACAAGAACTCATGCTAAAAATATCCTAAATAAGCTATTACGTACTGCTACACAAATTCATTTTTATAGCTGTATTGAAGTTCATACAACACGATAAACGTTATATTTAGCCGAGGTTCAATCCTTGCCTATCAAAATTAAAGTAGAAATTGCGGGATCTATTAACGAAAAGACGAAATTTTGAAGTTCGTTAAAAAATGTAATTTCTGTACTCTAAACTTAAATTCGACTAATAAATGAGTTATTTAGGATGTACAAATTCCTTATAACCGTGTTTGCTATTACCGTATTCTTTATATTGAATAAAGGATAAATTTCGATGTTAAATTATTCTTTAAAACCGGGTGTTCGCTATAACAGTGTCCGCTATAAGTGAAGTTTACTGTAGAGGAATACATAATACGTTATCTATCTAAATGTGCAGCTATATAGTCTTAAATAAAGTATATTTTATAACATTCGGTAACCGTTGATCAGATTTCATTTACCTCCATTTGTTGTTTTAATCACTGTTCTTTATGTCAGCAGAGCTCGAACTAGTCTTGAATATTTCTTTTCATATTTAATAAACGAAATTATCTTAAGGTCAGTGAGGAAGTGATTCCCATCTAAATAATTGTCTGGCATTTTAAATATCTTTTGCATATCAACGTAACATTTTTTTAGTTTTTTGTTTGTTTTTTAACACTAATTTTATTATGATGAGTATTCATTTTATACATTTGATACATTGATACTGGTAAAAAACTAAACAAAAAATCTGGAAACAAAGTGATCACTCGGAAGCATTAATCACGACAAAATTACAAGAGAATTGCAGACACGGTTTAATTGAGTCTGTACATGAGGGATACTGAATAAGTGCAACATCCCTCACGCCCCCTAGCACCGGCTGAGCGGTACTCTATTTTCAACACTTAATAGTGCTGGCATCAATGATCCCGAAGGACCAGAAAACTATAACAACACTGAAGTGAAGTACGGGGCAACTTTTTACAGCTGCCACACAGCACTTGACACCTGCTGTTGTGAAGCCATACATGAAAGCCATGCAAATCCTATGGTAGGGACAAATAATGTCCTTGTCTAAAATCCATGTTTATGTGTGACATGTAATTTCCCATGTTGTTTTGAATTACGAAAGTAAGCTTATCTTCATAAGTTTAGTACCAAGAAAGTGATAATAAGGAACACCTGGCGCCCTGTAATATTGTAGCTCAACTTTTGGTTTTAATATACGGTTTCCTTTATCACAGTAAATAGCGTATATTACCTGTTGATCAGAGTTGGTTAAATTTTGTGATAAAAAGTACCTAAACCCTCGTTGATACAGTTTTGAAAAATACATAACACGACTTCTCTCTCCAAATAATAGCCCGGCCGCTGCAATGCTCTTTTTCTTTTTAAATATTGTGTTTGGATCTAACTCAAGAGCTTGAGTCAGATTTGAAACAATTTGGCTAGCCGCTATTTTAGTTTCATTAAATGATGGTGGTTTAGATAAATGAAACATTTTTAAAGGTACTTTACTTGAAAAATATCCAACATCTAACCACATAAAATATTTTGATTTGAATGTGTTTTCTTCAGTTGCATTCAATAGAAAGTCGAATTTGGCATGAGTTACACATGAATACATAGGATTACTTGTATGCGGATAGAATTTCGGGTACGAATGCAACTGAAAAATTTCTTGAATTTGTTTTCTATATTGAAATGACGGTATTGACATTGAGTCAATAAGCAACACTTTTGTAACAGATAGAAGGTCTCGTCGTATTTCAAGCATATAATTTCTAAACAGATCTGAATTGGTATATACTATCAATGCATTTAATATATATTTGAACGCTTTGGCACTTTGAAAATAAAATGTTTTCGACCTTCTCCTGTGCGGATATCCTTTTGAAAAAGTACCTATATCTAGGTAAGCTGTAACTAACGTCGTATTTTCAGGAATAGATTTCCAAGTTGTAGTCTTATCAACTGTTTTCTGTAAATAAAAGAAATATATCTCGAAGTTTGACACGTGATACATGCTAATGAAAATAATAAAATTCGTCGATTTTTTAAATTACACTTTAATGTTTTAAATACAATAAATATTAGTCATTATACCATAGACTATATCGATTGACATCAAAATCTTAATTACAGTGTCTTTTAATTTGTCTAAGCCGTAAATATTTTACGTCTTTAATAACACAATTGTGTAAATATTTTTCAATGTTTCTATCCAAAGAACAAAAACTTTTGTATCATTATTCATCTGTAATATTAAAGGATTATCATCTGCTTTCTGTAAATAAAAGAAATATATCTCGATGTTTGACACGTGATACATGCTAATGAAAATAATAAAATTCGTCGATTTTTTAAATTACACTTTAATGTTTTAAATACAATAAATATTATTCATTATACCATAGACTATATCGATTGACATCAAAATCTTAATTACAGTGTCTTTTAATTTGTCTAAGCCGTAAATATTTTACGTCTTTAATAACACAATTGTGTAAATATTTTTTTAATGTTTCTATCCAAAGAACAAAAACTTTTGTATCATTATTCATCTGTAATATTAAAGGATTCATTTCTAATTGAACTTACCCTGACATCTGCATTTTTTAATTTTGAATACAAATATAAATAAATTAAACCAAGACTCGTTACAACATTTATTAATAAAACACTTCTTGAATAATCCTTTTTATAAATAAACAACTTCATTTTATATTAACGAATGTATATTGAATACTCTACTTTATTAAACAAATGTACTGCTCAACAATCAGATACAATATTACAAAGTCTAATATCAAACTTAAAATTGCTATCCCTTATTATAACGACCGTAATTCAATTCTTATATGCATGTTTATTTGAACGGAATAGAGAATGCACTTCACATACTTAAACGCAAAATAAAGTGTGCACTTTTCTTTTTATGGATAAAATTTATTTTACAAGATGTTCAGTTGTGAAATTGTACATGTAACGATATCGGTTGTTACAGTTTATGAAAACACACAAAGATATCAGTCAAACTTAACATAATATCAAGAAAAACAATTTACCATGATATATACTTGCATCATGTAACATAGGCTCACGTAGTCAAATCTGATTTCTTGTCTTCTCAATAATATGATATTTCTTCAAATATAATGCATTGCTGTACAAAAATGAATGTTTCTTTTGGAGAAAAAGATGCTGTAACAGACTGAACAGCTGACGTTCGGTGAAGAATATTTTTCAGCTCTGATAATTATGTTAGAGAAAGCTCATAGCATATCTATATAGAGGATCTCGAAAGCGGTAACCAAATCCAAGTACCAAACAGGTAGCGGCACAGACTTTTTTACACTTTGCTTCTCAATTTAAATTTTCTTTAACACTAATTTTAGTATTCCTGCGCGAAGGCCTTCACATTTTTACACTTGGAGAAATTTCTGTAATTAAAGAAAATAAAGAAAATTTCTTGAAATAATGTCTCCTGTTGTTGACCAATTCGGGATATGTTTTACATTAAAATACTATTATGTAACTCGAAATAGAAATGTTCACTGTTTAGTTTTGTTATACCCGGCATTGCTTCCGGCACTGTGTTCAGTGTTTAGATTTGAGTGCCGCCCAAGCAGGTTCTAGAGTCTACAATTTTCAGGTTATCTTGTTGTGATCACTATTTCCAGAGTTTGTAATACTTCACAAATGTCTAGTGCCGAGTGGCAAATGTAATAATTACCCGATACTTCAGTGTTGTTATATTTTTATATATAGAAGGACGAGTTTAATTGGTGGGATACGAACCGATGACCTACAAAGAATTGCATTACCCGACCCCTCTGTAACCCCAACATGGAATATAATTAAAAGTGTACCTATCTTTAAATGGTGAGAGTATAGAAGAACGGGTTAAAAGGATAGGACTCAGTCCGAAGTCATTGCGCTGATCATTTTTTCTAAGTGCACACATTTAGGAGCCCTTGTGCGAGTTGCCCAAAGGTTAGGGTTACAACGAATTTGTAACCAAGGTATGGAACATACTTTATATTGGTTCGGTCTATATATGAGGAGAGATTTTGTTACTATAGTCTGTCCCATCAAATTTGAACATTCCATTTTTTATTTAAAATAATAGTAAAATCATTTAAATTAATGTCATGTTAACCCTGACGTCAATATCTCTAGGCATGTTTTTCATTTTTTTCATAAAGTCAGTAATATGGTCAAAACGTTAAAATGATATTTTTTCCCGTTGACTTACGTTGTAAACTGACGTGACGTCCATTTCAAAATGGCGGCGCCCATATAGACGTCATTTAGGATTCGTCTCACAATTAGCGTGAAATGTACTCGGTAATTATAAAAAAAAATTATTCTTATTTACTTACTGATCAATAGCTAAATGTTATCATTAAAATGAAAAATGACAACAAAGTTTGTGTCAAAAAGGCAATTTTACTAGCAAACCATTATTTAAAATAATCATAATTATTTGAAGTGAAAATATCAGTAAGCTTTATAAATTGTAATACAAAAAGATTTAATTAATAACCATGATATACTGTCGTATTATATATTTTTTAAGAGAAAAAGAACACTGAAGTGATTTGATTAGATAGCTTTTCAATCAAGCGCGTATCTTGAATAACGCAACGTGTCGTAGGGGAGAGGGAACACTAGCTAGAAGACTATAAAAATGGTCCTTCGCTAATTAATGTTTAATTTACATAATTCTGTAGTTGTCTGAATTCTGTCCATAAGTGTGCATCACGTCTATTCAAAAATAAATAAATTGACCAGATTCGATGGGATACAAAAATATGTTACACAACTCATTTCGGGTGCGATGTTTGTGCGCTAAAACTTTCCGTAGATTTCAACTTTCACAAGAAATCGCCAACAAATACTACATTATCAAGCAAATCTGACAAAAAATATAAAGAAAGGAAAACTGATTCACTATACGTTCAGCATTGGTTTGTTTGTTACCACAGTGTCTACTTTAACTAACTCACTCGCTAACGAGAGAACACAGACTCGCGTTCGAGGAAAATGTGAATTATAAGAATATAATATCATGCTTTCTAGTTTAAGCAATCAAACGTAGGCATATACACTTTAAGCTCGTAAATTCCGTCTCACAATTCAACAAAATGTCCAGAAATACCGGCAGTGATTTGATATTATTGAGAATAAGTTTGAATTGGAGCGTTTAATATTCTTTTTTGTAGACTCAAAGTGGTACATATAATTATTTTGTTAATATGAAGGGCAGATCGAGTCAAAGAGAAACACCGAGTGACGTTCTCGATAGTTTTAGCCTTCCTAAAATTTGAAAATATTAAGTGAAAAAACAATAGATCTAGCATATTTTTCGCGGGAGAAAAAATTCCGCGTATTGTATATTTTGTAGCTAAAAGAGTAGGATTTACAGAAGTCTTGAATAACGAGATAATATGTAGGAAAATTTATTTCTGAGAAATATATAAAATAGTTTAAAAACATAAAATCAAAACGAATGTTATACGTAATTAATGGAAGAAGTAGATCTATTGTACTGTTGTAGATTCATGTCATTAAGTGTGTTTAAAATTATTTTTAAATGTTAAACTATCAAAAGTTTTATATTATTAACATACGAATTGAAGGTGTATTTTTTACAGTTAAGTTGCAAAATCTGGGTATACAAAAATTATTTTAAATGCCATCAAGACAAATTTGTCTCAACGCTTAAAATTATCTGTATGAGGTTACATATGCCTAACCGCCCTCTGTTAATGCCGCAACTGGAATCATCCATGAAAAGCGCGAGGCATTTTTGTTACGTCATATATTTCGTAAATTGTTGTTTACGTAATAAAGTTTTTTTCGTCAGGAATCCATAAGCATTGAAAATTGATGGGCCGTTCTTGAATTATGGATTTGGAACATGCTGAATTATGATGTGTTTCATTTACATATTTCATTTGCTAACCCAGATAACTCCACAAATATAACAATGTTTTAATAATGAGACGGATTATCAGTTTAAAAAATCTGAATCATCAAAAGTGTAGGAGTCATGTCATTCAGGATTTTTGAAGTAAAAATGGGGGATCTACGGAACTGGATAGAAAGTGGCAATGAAGGAATCCTCATAATGCGAATTTTTCGTGACGTTTATAAAGTTCATAGGGATTCTATTCAGCTTAAAAGTAAGTGCAATTTCTAGATCTACTCCATGTGACTCGTGTTCTTGTTGCTTATTTTTCATTTTTTAAAGTTTTCCATTATGCATTGCAACTAAACTGTTAATCTTGTAGATCAAGTTTGTAAAATAATCATGAAACGACCCCGAGAACCTCATGTATATTTTAGAAACATGACACGTGCTTTCTCCCGTTCATCTTCAAATGAAGAGTACTTCGGCAATGGCTACGGAAAATAAACAACAGAGATTTATCATAGAGAAATCAAAATTTGCTTTCACAAGAAAAGTAGACACTTTAGAGTAAAATCCTGAAAAATCTCGAGGGTGACTTTTTTTAAGTTTACAACAAAAGTTTTATTTTCCATTCAACGTCGTTTTGTTAATTCATACCAGGCAAAAGTTCATTTCCATTTTTAATGGGACAGACTATAGAGGCCTCTGTATACCAAATATAGAAGGATGGGTTTCAAGGATGGGATTTAAACTGATGACCTGGCGCATAAAGGATTCACAAAATAACCCAAATTATTTTTTTCAAAGTGCAAAAATCTCAGGGCCTGTGCGCGGAAAGCCAATAATTTGAGTAACAGAAGGTCTGTAACCGCGACATACAATACACATAATAGTGGCCTTAGGAAATTCACCTATTCGAAAAACATATACCCCCCCTTCTGTTAACCGATTTTTTGACCATATAAAAGCCTACAAACTTAGTTAAAACCCGTAAGTCATACAGAGGGGCATTTGTGTAGTAAAACTAGACAGGGTTAGAATATATCCCCCTGGTAACCGTTTTTTAATATATATAGGTCCTCATATTTAGTTATAACCCGTAATCC